TGACACCTTCCTACACAGCTGAGACAGCGCTGTAGGTCTGTATCTTGCGATCCCTTCCTTGGGTGACCAGATGATGGAAGGAGGGTTCCTGCTGGCCCCTGGGCTGGATTCTTCTGGCAGCAGTGGATGCTACCAGCAGGGGCTGGGTCAGGCCCTGATGTCCCCTCTGCCCGTCCCCCCAGGCTGCCATCCTTCCCCTGCTTTGTGGGTGGGAGGTGGGGGCCTCTCAGCCCAGGGACAGTCGGGTGGTGTGATGGCGCATGGCTGGCTGTCAAATGCCTGTTCCCACTTGCGAGGTGCTGGCCAGCCCAGCTCCCGAAGGGGTCTGAGTGCCCAGCCCGGGAGCTGCTCAAAGGGGCAGAGCAAAGTCTAGCTGCTTGGCCTCAGGCCCCTCAGGCCGCCTCTCTGCCGAGCCACCAGATTAGGCCCTCCCGACCCAGAGCTTAGCCACTCCCGCAGAGAGCCTGAGCTGCCCGCTGCATGGAGGGCGCGGCCACCACCACTGCTGAAAGGCCCTGCTGGTCCTCCTTAGGCCTGTCCCTGGGGTCCACGAACCGACTTGCACTCCTGATACACTAGAAATAGTTGGGGGAGGCGCTCGAAAGCGCGGGGGACGTCTCCCAGACGTCGACATCATCTCTGCCATCTGTGTGTGGGCCTGTCCTTCCGCCCGTGCTGCGCCGGGCCAGGGGTTGGCTGATCCGTGGTGGGCACAGCAGCCGGGACAGGGTGGCCACTTCCTCCCCTCTCCTGTCTACTCCAAACACGGTCTGAGCACTGCCTGCCTACGGAGCTGGCCCCAGGAAGAAGGCCCGAGGCAGCCGGGGAGGAGGCCGGGGCTGAGGATGGACCAGGGCCGGGGAAGGAACAAGTCTCGCTGCTGGCCATCCCCAGGAGGGTGGGTCTGGGGAGGGCCGCCTCAGTCAGGCAGACAAGTGTTGGAGGAGGAGAGGGCTTCAGGGCTGGGCCGTGCGGTCTGGGGTGCTGGAGGGCCCCGGGGAGGTGGCACCCTGCAGGGAGTGGGGCCCCTGCACGTCTCTCAGTGAGGGGTCCATGGACAAAGCATGCCAGCTGTGGGGGCTGGGCACCTAAGGGTGCTGGATGTGTGCACACGCCGGGAAACCTGTGGGTGTGATTCGTGAGTTTGTTGGAAGATGTCATTGATTCCCCAGCTCCCCTGGGGGCAGGAGCTGCGCTGGCCTCTTGGTGGCAGCCGTGTTGCCTACAATGCCAGGGCAAGATTGCTCTCTGCCAGGAAGACAGATTTAAGCCAGCGCTGCCCATACTTCCGACAGTGTGGGCTCTTCCTCCTGTGAGCAGCTGCCACCCACCCATGCAGGGCTGGAGGGAGGGGCTGCAGGGGCACCTTTGACAGTGGGGAAACTGAGGCACAGGGATGAGGAGGACCACCCAAGGTTGGGGCAGGTCTGGGACTCTGTTCCCTGGCAGCTGCCATGGCCAGCCAGGCGAGGTCGGTGGGGCATCCAAGTGCAGAGGCCAGCTGAGTGTCCCTGGAAAGGCTTGGACACAAAGAGCCCTCCCTATGCCCCTCCCCACCCTGCAGCAGCACCTGTCACCTCCTTGGAGCTGGTGTGGGGGCCTCGGCCTCCTCTGTCTGTCTTCCTCCTCACCCACACGTGTACAATGAGCATCTGTCTGTGTGTGCTAGGCCGTGGCTGAGCAGGAAGCAGAGGTTCCTGCCCAAGGGGTGTCCCAGGGGTCAGATGGTGCACAGAGGGCTGGGGCGTTGCTGGGGTGTGCAGGGATGCACAGACCAGGCGAGGGCAGCAGACAAGGCGAGGGCCTGCCTCTGCCCCACAGAACCTCGACTGCTCCCTGACCCTGGCTGGGCCTGGGTGGAGCCTTCTGTGGGGGCCCGCCTGACCTGGTGTGGGACAGCTGGGCAGGGAGGCTGTTCAGGTATTCCTGCATAGGCTTTTAGGAGGGGCCGGGCCACCTGAGGGTGGGTGTGGACTGTGGCCGGGGTCCTGGGCCTTGCACAGAATGGCAGAGCAGAACCAGGCCTTCCTGTGTGTCCTCTGGGCAGCTGGCGCCCAGTCAGGGGCGGGCAGGGCCAGCTGGGGCCGGGCATGGAGGGAGGGGGCAGGACTCGCCGGCCTGTACTAGTGGACCTCGTGGGACCTTGTTGGTGGTGGACCCTCTGTGTCCTTGTGAGGTGGACCTTCCTTGACCTTCTGGGGGTGGACCCTCCATGACTTCATGGGGAAGGACGCTTTGTGACCTTGTGAAGGTTGGACTTGCCAGTGTGGGGGATGGCCTCTCTGTGATCTTGTGGGGGTGGACACTTCCATGACCTCGTGGGGCTGGACCCTCCATGACCTCATGGGGATGGACCCTCTGTGGCCTCATGGGGGTGGATCCACCATGACCTTGGGTGGACCCTCCTTGACCTCATGGGGATGGACCCTCTGTGGCCTCATGGGGGTGGACCCACCTGACTTTGGGTGGACCTCCCTTGACCTTGTGGGGTGGACCTTCCTTGACCTTATTGTGGGTGAACCCTGATCTTGTGGGGGTGGACCCTCCATGACCTTATGGGGGTGCACCCGCTGTGACCTCATGGAGTGGACCTGCCATGACCTTGTGGGGTGGACCCACCGTGACCTCGTGGGGTGTGAGCCTCTTCTGGCCTCCAGGTGTTGTCTGGGTCAGCTTTGGGCAGCATGTGGGGATTAGATCTTGGGTCCCTGGACTTGGACCCTGACTGTGACTCTGAGGGAGCAGGAGGGGCAGCTGGGGTGACCCGGGAGGATGTGGGGCCTGGGCTGGCCTTGCCTGCCTTGCACCTTGAGCTGGAGGGGCTGGAGTGTCCCCACCACCGTTTGGATGTGACCCTGTGCAGACGGGCTGGGGCTGACTGGCAGGGGCATGGGGACTGCACCTCCTGGTGGGGCTCAGGGTCCTGTCAGCACCTCAGGGTCTGGAGCCACATGACCAGTGACCTGTGTGTGGCCTGTGCCGTCCTTGGCCTAGCTACGCCGTGGTGGAGAGATGGCGCCCAGGCCAGGCACCCCCTGCAGCATTCTGTGGCCTGGGCACCAGCTTTGCTGAACAGCTGCAGCTCTGTGTCCACCCGTCTTGTAGAAGAGGTGGGGTCACCTTGGTCCTCAGGGTGGCGGGCAGCCTTGTGGCCGAGCCCTGCATCAGGGTGGATTAGCTGGGCCTTCCACCACCCATCACTGAGGATTATGGCCGGGGCTGCCGAGGAGGGGTCAGGGAGTTCTGGGTGCAGGGGGCTGGACCCGCACTCAATCTGGGCCCCTCCAAGAAGTCCTGCCGGGGAGACGGGCCAACCAAGCCCCCATCCCAGCTGATGGGGGAACCGCTGGTGGCTGAGAGCCGGTGGGATGGGGAAAGAGCACGGTGTTCCTGGAAGGAGGCCCGGGAGGGAAGCCCCTGGGTAGGGAGGGAGAATCTACCTTCTTGTGTGCAGGAACCTTTGGCTGTTGGGGAGGAAGTGAAGACCCCATGTGGTGGGAACCTGATGGGACCGGGGACTGGCTGGGGACCCATCTGTCTCCAGGTACTCGGACCCGCCTCCTGCCCTGGCTCGGGCCCTGGGCTCCTTGGGTTTGGGGCTCTCCTACCCAGGTGTCCACCTGCACTCACCTTCCTGGGACTCCCAGGTGTCTTCCCTGTCCCCGCAGGCAACTTGATGGTTCCCTAATCTAACTCCATGGTAGAGAGTGTCGGGCCTCCTGCTGCCCTTATGCCGATGGAAGCAGAGCTTGTGACACACGGCCCTGGCCAGGCACTGGAGTTTGGCTTTGAGTTGATGACACCAATCCTGTGGGTGTAGCCCTGGGTCTCTGTGGCCAGCCAGAGATACTCAGCCGTCTCCTCATGGCCGGCTGCCTCCTATTCCAGCCTTGGCTCCGGCACCGCCCTTCCCAGGCTCTGCAGGGGGAGGAGGCTCCCTGCCCCAGACCCTGGTGACTGTCTCCTGGGGCCAGCACAGCCTAGGGCGTGAGTGGGTGAGGGCTGGGGGCACCCGAGGGGCTTGCTCAACCTGGGCATGGCCCAGAGCAGGGTAGCCCACATTCATTGTTCTCTGCCCAGCCCTGAGTGCCCACAGCTACCCTGGTGTCCTGGCCAGGATGCCGGGGTGGAGGGCAGAGCCCATTGCTCACGCTGCCCTGCTCCCTAGGCCTGGGGAGCATGGGTCCAGAGGGGTCCCCACCACAGTGGGAGCTGAGGCACTGGGACAGGGTCAGCAGGAGGGACTCCCAGGGCCACAAGGTGCCCTGGAGACACAGCCGGCCCCCTGCAGGCCCGCCCACCTTGGGGCCCCATTGGAGGTCCCTGTAAGTGAGGAGTGTGGGAGTGAGCTTAGGGGCTTCTTTAGAGCCTGGGACGGAGAGAGATGGACACCACCCTTCCCACACCGGGCCCGATCACGTGCCTGGGGACCCATGAGGATCATCCCCCCACCCTGAGTCTTACAGCTGTGCTATTTGGGTCCCAGGAGGGGCCACCCGCGGGTCCTGCTGTCACCCTTCGGCCCCAAACTCGGGTCAGTGGCCTGGGGCCCAGACAACACTGCTACCTCCCTGGTCTCTTCCTGTTCCCAGCTAGGACTTCCCCTGGCCTAAATCCTCTGGTCAGCTGGGCTGGAGCCAGGCAGGATTAGTGCAGGGGATTGGGCCCAAGTGTGGGCAGGCAGAGGCCCTGCCTCTCCCTCACCCCGGAATGCTGTCTTCTCAAGACTCCTCGGTGGCCTGGAGAGTGGGTGGGCTGGCCTGGGGGCCGTCTAGGATAGCAGGTGACAGTCAGGCCCGTGCCTGCTGGGCCTGGGCACAGCCCTGTGGGAGCTTCAGAGAGATCTGAGGGGGAAGAGGAAGAGGAGGATGGGAGAAGGGAGCCCCACGGAGGCCGTGCACCCAGCACCACCACAGCCTGACCTGCCGCTGAGGGCAGGGCCCTGCCTGGCCTCCCCGGCCTCCCCGGCCTCCCTGAGCCAGTCCCGGCCATCTCTGGGCATGCCTGATCCCTGGCCATCCACCACCAGCCGGACCAAGGGGACGGTGGCCTGCCTGGTGGAGGTGCTCCTCTGGATTGGAGGCAGCGTGGCATTGTCTTCGAGGTGGTCGTTAGGCCCACTGGGTAAGAAGGACAGGGAAGTGGCACCCAGTGGGGTGCAGGCCTCAGGCTGTCCAGGTGCTCCGGGCGGGTGGGGGCTGCTCTGAGGCCCAGGGTTTCCGTGCTTCCCAGCGCTCACCTCCACCTTCCCACCCCCTCGGTGCGCTGGGGCCACGTGATCCTGCAGCCCGCCCCGCCCCTCGCCACTCAGAGGAGCTTCCCAGCACCTCTGCCCCCCCCCCGGGGCCTGGTGCTGAACCCAGGGGAGCAGGTCAGGGCCTGGTCAGATGTGCCGTGTGGGAGCCCAGGGGCCTTGGAGCTTTCGTGGATGGTCCCTGGCACTCGAGATGGTGGCACCTCCAGTGGATCCGGCAGCCTGCTGGTGCCAACACAGGCGCTGGGCCTGGAGGTGGCAGAGGCCCTGGCCGCTGTCCCTCCATGGGGAGGAGGCTTCAGGAGCCCCGGTCAGGGCTGTTTCACCGGCTTGGTTACAGTGGCCAGAGGGCCCGTCCAGGCCTCACCATACTAATTAGCCTCGGGGCCTGTCCCTGTGTTCTGCCACACCCCTCCACTGCATTCGGGTCTCCCCAGGCCTATAGAAGTCCTCCAGGCTGGCACTCTTCATGGTCCTCTGCGATGCCCTCTGGGTTCCTCCTTGGGCTGGCCTCATGGGGCGTGACTGCTCTATGCTTTAGTATACCTTGGGCCCTGGGCTTTCTGTGAGCAGGGGTGCAGGGCCTGGTTTGGTGGGACCCAGCTGACTGTGGCCTGGGCTTCCTGGAGCCTCCCACCCTTCCCACAGGGGGCCACATGGGCAGGGGAGGAGGAAAGCAGAGAGGCCGGCGGACCCAGGGAAGGTTGGAGGCTGTGGAGCTCAGACCCAGCTGCAGCCTCCCAGATCTGCCCCTGGTCCATGGCCCTGGGGAGTGGGCACTAGTGGTCCCTCTTGCGTGGGGCGGTGCTTTCCTGGAGACATCCAGGAGTGAGGCTGTCTGCTCCCAGGAGCGGGTATGGCTGCCACTGCGGCCACCCTGCGCCTGGCTGTGGGCCTCCTCAGCACTGTGACCCCTGTGCCTCTGTCTCCCATGCCGTGGCCCTCCCGCTGCTGTGTTCCCTGCAGGCTCCGCTGTTCCATGGCCCTCGGAGCCCCAGGCCGGCACTGGATCTGGGATTGCTGGGACTGGTCCTGTGTTGGGGAGGGCAGGCGGCCGAGCAGGGCGGGCAGAGTCCTCTCTGGGCCCCGGCCTGGCCCTCCATCCCTGGGCTGTTGGGAGAGGGATTGCAGGGACCCGGCTGGGCCGTGGCCTGGCCATGTGACTGCGGTGTGTCCCTAGCCAGCATCTAGGGGCCCGGGATCTGGCCTCAGCCTTAGCATGGGCAGGTGGGCTAGTGGGTGGCCTCTGTGCCCTGGACACACACGGTCCCGGGTGGGCAGGTTGGGGGTGGTGAGGGCAGGGCGTGTCCCTGCTCACGATGCTCACGTCTGTCCCCATGTGCAGTGGAGCGGTGCATGAGTGCCATGCAGGAGGGTACACAGATGGTGAAGCTCCGTGGCAGCTCCAAGGGCCTGGTGCGCTTCTACTACCTGGACGAGCATCGCTCCTGCATCCGCTGGCGGCCCTCACGAAAGAGCGAGAAGGCCAAGAGTGAGTGGGCTGGGGGATCTGCGGGCCTGGGGCGGGGACCCTCTGGAGCAGCTGTCAGATGCCGAGGGCCAGGGAGGATCTGGGCATCGCTGGGCTCAGCTGGTCTTGGGGGTCCGCCGTGACATCGGGACTATAGCGGGGGCTGAGCCCCTGCTGGGCAGAGCTCCCCGGGTCTCAGTGGGGACAGGTGCTGGGTGGGGGTGAGAGCACACATGGACAGAGACCCCGGAGGGGCCCACGGAGCTTGGTGCAGACGCTGGCCCGGCAGCCTGGGCGGGGGCCTTGGGCAGGCCCTGAGCAGGCCGGATGGGCAGAGCTGGGGCACACTGGGAGTGGGATGGGAAGCGAGGTCCAGGCAGGGGAGAGACCCCGCGGCCACCTGGGGCAGGGGCAGGGCTGGGACAGGACCCAGGACGTGCCCACAGCTCTGTAGGCTGCCCTGAGTGACGGGCTCCTGACTTCACTCCGGGTCTGAGGGGGTCCTGCCATGGGCATGGGCGCAGATTCTAGAAACCCTCCCAACTCATCTGCCTGTGGCGGTCCGGCATTTGAGAGGAGGTGCTCTGGGCCTGGACGCCATGGTGCTCTGAGATGCCAGGGCTTGGGAGGACAGGGAGACGTGCCAGTTAAATGTGGGGTCCTGAGCCAGCC